GGACGACATATGCACTGCCGAGGATGCGGTGGAGGCTGCCGACGAAGGAATACCAGTTAGTTGCTGAGTTGTCGGCAACGCGCACAAATGATCGAGTGTCGAGACGTTTACAGGAGGGGGAAAGGATGCCATTGGTGACACGGAGTGGGAGGAAGGCGATGGCGGGTGGACCCGCGGTGGTCGGAAGGGAGCGGGGCGGGGTGGACCCGCGGCGTCTCAAAGAGGAGGGGAGGATGGGAATGGCTGTAGCTGCTGCTGCTGCTCCCACTGCTGCTGCTGCTGCTGCTGCTGCTGCTGCTGCTGCTGCTGCTGCTGCTGCTTGCTGCTGGCTGCTGCTGCTGCTGCTGCTGCTTGCTGCTGCTGCTGCTTGCTGCTGCTGCTGCTGCTGCTGCTGCTGCTGCTGCTGCTGCTGCTACTGCCGATGCTGCTGCTGCTGCCACTGCTGCTGATGCGTCTGCTGCTCCTTCTTCTGCTGCTGCTGCTGCTGCTGCTGCTGTTGTTGCTGCTGCTGCTAGTGCTGCTGCTACTGCTGCTGCTTCTGCGTCTGCTGCTGCTGCTAGCTGATGGCAGTTAGCTGATGGGGAAAGATGGCAGTTACCTGATGAAAGTAGGACTTGGTGGAAATTCCAGTAGCACTTCGTAATCACATCCAGGAAAGTGCGCAAACTTCGAAAAGCGATATCCGACAATCCAAGCGGTGAAACAGTTTGAAATCTTACGACGTTATAGCTGACATTAAGAGCGTTCTTTTGCAAGTCGAATCACTTAATTCTGTCAATTGGGTAGCGAGCTATGGCGTTTGGCGCGCTGGGGATGTTTGAAAATCCACCCAACAGAAAACTAGTTGTGAAGAGAAAGAGAGGCGGCGGCTAGGAGTCTAGCAGCGGCGATGGAGGGGACGGCAATGAGGTGCACGTCGGAAGGGGACGGGGCGGAAGCGTGGGGAAGGATAGGGATTAAAAGTTGGCGTGAGCCATTATTGGTGTATACCATGTTTGAAACAGAAATGTTGAGTTTATTGATGAAGCAAAGGCATTACATAAGAAGAGAGAGATGAGCTAGGAAGGGAAGGTTGGATGGGAAGGGGGGTTAGGACCAATCACAAGGGAGAGAGGATCCTTCCAAATGTGGTTGACCAGAAGTGGGAGGTGGTGCAAGTATGGTGGACCACGAGTGGCTTGGGCAACCCACTTGTGGTTCCCCCACAATTATGGTCCTTGTGTTTGGGGGCTCCAACCACAATTGGGTTAGATTGACACCCCAACACAGGTGTACACCCAACTAGGGATGTAAAAACAATATACACAACTAGCATAGCATGGTATATTCTAACACACTCCTGTTATTATCACAATAGGCTCAGATGTCCAAAATGAGAGAGAGAGCACAGTCGGATTTCCGTCAGACGGCTTCAAATATTGATAACGTTCTGCTGATCAAACGGTGATGTAAGTTGGATCTGGAGCGCGTTGCTGTCGTCTATCAGCAGCAAGTTGAATCATGAAATTCCATGAAGATTTGACGACGCTATGGCGGTTTGACTGGCAGGAGGTATAGCAGCCACTATAGTCTTAGGAGTACAAACTTAGCAAGAAGAGTTCGAGAGGGAGATGGTTCCCAGCCTCTACATACCCCAAGAGCCGAGGTCCAGGTTGGTGGTACACCACCACAGAGTCCCCAACCATGAAGAGTCTCGAAACAACCCTCCAAGGGGCTACACCAAGTGAAATGTAACACTACACGAAGTAGCGTTACTATTTTCACTATTTTAATATTTATCCACTTCCCTTGGGCTTTAAATCTTGAGCTCTTGGTCTTGATTCTGCAAGATAAATTCTTCTTGAGTTGATGAGGGCTTGCTGCACACACCTGCAATGCGATGGACACTTCACACTCGACAAAATAGAGAAAACACACGCGACACGCAAACGACGACTTGACATGCGAGTTGTAAAAAACTCGCTAATATCTTGACCGACACAAACCATATTCTGATACACCATTCAAATACACACACAAGCACTCGATAGCAATGACATAGACTCACAAGTCATTCCATGCCATGCATGCACACACACAAACAAGGACGACAAGCCGAGTGCAAGCCATAGGGTTGCACCAACAAACTCCCCTCGGATTGTTGGTCTTAGAATCTGCTCCCCGTAGTTAAAAGCCATCCCAGCAAGCTTACAACACTTCCAATGCTGCTGCTCAACCAGCCTCTTGGTCATCATATCAGCAGGCTGCGCCGTCGTCTGCACGTAGTGTAACTCCACTTCACCCGAGGTTACCATGCTCCTCACCCAATGCCATTTCACCTTCATGTGCTTGGTAAGGCCATGAAGTACAGCGTTCTTAGACAATGAAATAGCACCCTGGCTATCACAATAGATTGGGGTAGGTCCTTGCTGCTCCTCCCCCAATTTAGCTAGCAAACGCCGCTGCCACACAACCTCTCTTATGGCACGGAAGAGTGCCATGTACTCGGACTCCACCGAGCTCAATGCTTGGTCCACTTGATTCTTGCTCTCCCAAGCGGTTGGGCCTCCACCAACACAGCAGATGAAGCCTCCCACACTTGTCATATCCTCTGGTTCTGATGCACAAGATGCATCAGAGAAGGCGGTGAGAAAGAGCCTCCCGGGTTCGACTCCAACCTCACCCTTTTGACGCTTTTGTGCCGCCGCGGAGTATTGCAGTCCAACAGTTGCTGTTTGGCCAAGATACTTGGCCACTCTCTCTCCAGCTGCTACCTGCTCTTCATCAGGGGACTGGAAAACCCTAGCCAGCTGCCCGGTAGCAAAGGCTGCATCCGGTCTTATGTGAACGGCCGCATACATGAGGCTGCCCACCAAGGAGTGAAAACAACGCCTCTCCTCTTCACCAACACTTTCCTCCGCTGGTCCCTTCACACACTTGAACCCCGAGGGTAGAGGAGTAGCCACATGACCTTCACTCTTCCCAAATTTTGCAGCCAAGGCCTCCAAATACTTCTTTTGATGCACTCGCATCCACCGCTTCTCCACATCTCGCTCAATATGAAGCCCAAGGTAGTAGTTGACGTCACCAAGGGTCTTGCACTTGAACTTGTCTTGAAGCTTCAGCATCACCTCCTTCACAAGGTCAGATGAGGGTGAGAATATGAGGATGTCATCCACATAAACCACCATGAAGCTCCTCTGCTCCCCCTCGCCAAGCATGAACAAGGATTGATCGGCCGTTGATGGGGTGAAGCCGATCGCCTCCAAGACTTCCTGCAGCTTGATGTACCATTGCCTAGGGGCTTGCTTGAGGCCATAGAGTGCTTTCTTCAGCTTCCACACTCTGCCACTCCCATCATTGTACCCTCTGGCTGCTGCATGAAGGTCTCTTCCTCCAAAACTCCGTTGAGGAAGGCCGTTACTATATCCATTTGCTTCACCACCCATCCTTTGATGGCTGCCTCGGCGAAGAGAGTTCGAAAGGTTGTACCCTTCACCACTGGAGCATATACTTCATTGTAGTCCTTCTTTTCCTGCTTCTGGTACCCCTTGGCCACAAGTCTGCTCGTGTAGCACTCAATGTTGCCATCGGCGTCCGTCTTGCGCTTGAAGAGCCACTTGGAAGAAATCGCCCTACGCCCTGGAGGTAGGTTCACGAAGTCAAACGTATCGTTCTCTATGATGCTCCCCGTTTCTTTGTCTGAGGCCTCCGATTGGGGCCCTCCCAAGCCTCCTTGGGATATGTAGGCTCCTCGGGTATCTCCACCAGAGAGAAGACGGCAAAAGCGCACTCCTTGCTTTCATCTTCCGCATCATCGCCTAGCATGAGAGCCGAACCTATCAAGGTTGAGTTGCCTAGTCTTTCAAACAGGTCGTAGCTCAACCTATTGGGGGGCTGAGTCTTCCTTCTCCCCCTTCCTTCCTCCTCTACTGCAGGGACTTGGATGCTCTCATGGCGTTGCTGCAAATCTGGTCGGTTCCCGCGAGCACTTGTAGCACGAGGCGGAAGTGACGGTGCACGCTCATCGCCTTGCTGCACCTCCTCCTCCTCTTCTCCCCCATTCATTTGAGGAGATTGCCTTGTGATTGTGCTGCTGCTACTCAGCTCCAAGGGCAGCTCCACATGCTCCAAGCCGGTACTCTTCCCCTCTCCAAGCCGCACACCAATCTTCGCTTGGTTCTACGCCTTCCACTCCTTATACAGTAAGTTCTCTACGAACTTGCAATCTCTGCTAACCAAGAACTTCTTCGTAAATGGGTCCCACAGAAGCCTTCCCTTGCTGTTTTGAGCCATGCCCAGATGCACGGCCCATGTTGCCTTGGCATCAAGCTTGTTGTGCCGAAGTTTCTTAGGCACAAGTGCCATGTACATGCACCCGAACACCCGAAGAATATCCACCTTCGGCTTCCTTCCAATCCATTCCACATAGGGCACCCATTTGTCTTCTCCCACATGAGTCAAGGCTCTGTTCTTGGCCACACAAGCATGCCGCACCGCATCCCGCCAAAAGTAATTAGACCGGCTTCAATGAGAAGTCCCCGAGCCGTCTCCGTGAGTGTCCGATTCGCACGCTCGGCGATGCCGTTCATTGCAGGAGAGTAGGGCATGGTAAGAGAGTGCCTTATGCCCTGCTTCTTCAGTAAAGTTGAGAAGTCCTTGCTCAAGAACTCTCCCCCACGGTCAGTGCGAAGCACCTTCACAAGCTGGTCTTGTTGCCGCTCCACCATCGGCAACCAATCGGTCTTCACCGTTTCATCTGCGTCACTCTTCTTGGGCAGCACATACACCCAAGTCATGCGAGTGTAGACATCCACTATAGTGAGGAAGTACTCAGCTCCAGCAGCTCCAAGCTTCAAGGGGCCCACCACATCCATCACCACCTCATCAAGTGGTGCCTTCGCCGTTGTCTTCGAGCTACGGAACAGGTAGCGGGTGAACTTGGCTTGCATGCATGTTGGACAGCCAAGCACTTCATTGGGCTCCCCCTTGACACGTATCCCACTGACCATCTCTTGCTTAACTATCTGCTGCAAAATGGGCAATGCCACATGCCCCATTTGCCGATGCGTCGGCGAATCACACACTCCCGTAGCGGAATTCGGATTGGAGAAAGCGGCACTCGCAATTGTGCCCCACAAGCTCTCTCCTTTCTCCTTTGCCGCTGCTGCTTTGCTGATCTTAGGCTTCTCCTCCTCATTTCCACCACCTTTGGCTGCTGCACCACTCTCCTTGGGTTCACACGCCTTGCTGGTCTCTCCAAGATTGCACTCCTTCGAATCACTCTTGGTGTCACTTTGCTTTCCGTGATCACCGCCACCAACCGCTTCACTCTTGGTGCTGACGCTTGCTGCCACTTGCCTCCACTTAGGCATGGGGACCACTGGGATTTGCCACATCTCATTGTAGATGTCCCTGTCCTCATGATCTTCCCAAAGCTTCCGCTCACCAAGCCTCGTGGTATATGTTTTGGAACCCTCGGAAGATGTGTCCATGCCGGCCTTTTGCAAACGCCGCACGGAAATCAGGTTGGCTGCTAGGTTGGGCACCCAAAGCTTATTCTTGAGGCCCACCATCTTCCCATCAGCACCCTTGAACATGGCCTTGCCCATGCCTTTCACCTCTGCTTGCAGCCCCAAAGCCAATGTAACATGCTTGACCAGCGACGGTTCGAGTTCGGTGAGCAAGTCCGCACGAGGTGTCATGCTATAGGTAGCGCCGCTATTGATCACCCAAAAGTCCAGAGAATGAAGGGTGACCTTTCCCACAGTAGCTGGCTCCTCAAAGCCTTCCACACCTCCTGCTGCAGCTGCCGCTTCCATGGAGACAAAGAAGAATTGGCCCGGGTATCGATCTTCACTCGGGCCCGTCTCGTAGTCTCCACCTTTCATGCTTGCCGCTTTGCTTCCAAGACCACCACGACCTCCACGACCTCTGCCTCTTTCTCCCCTTGCTCATCTGCCCTCTTGGCCTTGAGAAGGGGTCCATCCATTAGGCAATCTGAAGCAATCTCTCCACGTGTGGCCGGTCTTGTGGCAAAGGTGACATTCACCGTCAAATCGATCGCGCCCACGCCCGTAGCCATTGTTGTTGTTGTTGCTGCCATATCCTCCATTACCACGGCCTCTATTGAAGTTACCGCTGCCAAATCTGCCTCCTCGCCCTCTGCCCCTTCCACAGCCGTTCCCACGGCCCATGCTTGCAACTCCGGCACCATCGGGACCCGCCAATTCGCGACGGCGGAAATCTTCTTGTAAGATTTCCCGCTTCACATCTTCGAGGGAGAGGCGGGGCAGATCTCGATTTAGGTTGATGATGAGCAAGAACCATGAGTCTGGAAGTAAGGCCAGCAGATTGGTCTTCTTTTGAAGGTCACTGTAGTTCATGTCAGCTCCTTCGAGCCGTGTCAACAAGTCTAAGAATTTCTGCACTCCTTCCTCCACCGTTTCACATTCGTCAATTCGAAGTGCCGCCATTTGCCGCTCCAAAACCACAGCCACCGCCACTGATGCAGGAGCGTGTACACGCTTGAGAGCAGCCCATGCCTTTGGTCCCTTTGCTGATTCATGCTGAAAAGGCTTGATGTGACGGATTTGGCTGCTCCCCAACGCTTGCCCAAGTAGAAGATAGCCTTGTGCGCTTTTCCGCACCCACGGGCTCTTCTCCGGGTCGTTCTCGGGGCGATTCTCCATTCCTTCCATCACCTCCGGCAGATCATAGTGGTCAAAGATGTTCTCCATCTTGAAGGACCACTCAGAAAAGTTGTCACCGTTGAACATGTCAAGGCCAAACACTCTAGGCTCATCCCTAGAGGGCCCAAGGCTAGGTTGCACGGGAGCAATGGGTGGATCTTGGTGTTGGTCTTGCATCTTCTCTACCTCAGCACCTCTGCCACCCCCTTCCCCAGATCTAGGCATGGTCGAAATGGCTCCAAGGGGCTCTGATACCACTTGTTATAATCACAATAGGCTCAGATGGGCCTAAAATGAGAGATGGAGTGCACAATCGGATTTCCGTCAGACAGCTTCAAATTTTGATCACGATCTGATATGTGATCTAAACGGTGATTTTGAGTTAAATCTGGAGCGTGTTGCTATCGCCTATCAGCAGCAAGTTGAATCATGAAATTCCATGAAGATTTGACGACGCTATAGCGGTTTGACTGGCACGAGGTATAGCAGCCACTATAGTCTTAGTAGTACAAACTTAGCAAGAAGAATCGAGATTGAGATGGTTCTCAGCCTCTACAAGCCCCAAGAGCCGAGGTCCAGGTTGGTGGTACACCACCACAGAGTCCCCAACCACGAAGGGACTCGAAAAAAACTCAACAAGGGGCTGTACCAAGTGAAATGTAACACTACATGAAGTAGCATTACTATATTCACTATTTTAATATTTATCCACTTTCCTTGGGCTTGAAATGTTGAGCTCTTGGTCTTGATTCTGCAAGATAAATTCTTCTTGAGTTGATGAGGGCTTGCTGCACACACCTGCAATGCGATGGACACTTCACACTCGAAAAAATAGAGAAAACACACGCGACACGCAAACAACGACTTGACATGCGAGTTGTAAAAAACTCGCTAATGTCTTGACCGACACAAACCACATTCTGATACACCATTCAAACACGCACACAAGCACTAGATAGCAATGACATAGACTCAAAATTCATTCCATGCCATGCATGCACACACACAAACGAGAACGACAAGCCGAGTGCAAGCCATAGGGTTGCACCAACAATTCCCAGCTGTATAAATCCAGAACTACTCCACCCAGTTTGTGGCTGCGAACCAGCTGAAACAATTCCAAATCCCAGCTCGTCGAACTCCACTTTGATCTTAAGTAAACTGCTACAATGTCTGCAACCGCGTAAGTATTTGGGTAGCTGCAATCTCCACACGTCGGGACTAGTAGCAGCACGACCCCATACGCAGGGCAACTATGCTAAATAACCCTGGCTCCATTCGACACCGTGGATTGGAATTCAGCTCCTCAAACTGCCGTTAATCTGCATCGTGTTCTTACCCGCTGCTGAATATTTTGCAGAGTCTCCTGACCGGTTTGCCGTGCAGACGATCACCCATCGCGCGACTACGGCAGGTACTCCTGAACAACTCGGGCACAGCTCTCAGCTACAAAAAGCGCATTTTTTTGCAGTTTCACCGACCCACCGCGCTGGTAGTTAAACCACCGCTGAGCTCGGTAGGTACCCGAGGACCCTCGCTACTGCTCCAGGCAAAATTTTAAAGGATTTCCCATGTGGAACGACCCGACGTTTTAGCCACGCGCCGACGTTCACCCATCATTGCATCCGTCCAGGTAACTTCCGAATAGGTCCTATCCGAAAACCCCGAGTATAGTCCCTCATACTTGGGACACTCGCTGAAGGCTCCTGAGTCACTCCAAATTTTCTCGTGAACGGCAACGCGCTCCTCCCGCTGCAACAGTAACCCTTGATGTTTTCTGCTCCAACTGCTGCAATGATCTTCCAAATGCTTCTGAACAGTAGCGCGCACGCTCTGCTGTTTAGCTGCTGATGTTGTTGCCCGCAATTTTCCTTAACAAAAATCACGAATCCCTGGCAGATGTCGCCGAGAGCTCGCCGCACCGATGTTCGCCCATCGCCTTACTTTGGCGAAATTCGTGACACCATTTTTCTTTTCCCTTCAAATGATCCACCAGCACAGGGTAATCCACAAGCTCACCCCCATTATTTGTCTAGGACCGTCGGAGTATCATTAAATCTGAATTGGTAAACCTGTTGGTGGTGCTGAAGATCTGGGCGACCTAGCCATTTTATAGGGGACCCGGTCTGCTACTGACTCTTAACCAGCCATTCTTGGTCGTTTTTCTTCTTTGCTTCAGCTTGTCAGTGACAGGGTGATGACACTTAAAAGCTGACCCGAAGGTAGTTGCTGGTCATCCCCCGTAGATCGTAGAGTGTATTTTCTGACCACGAAAATGGCTTCCTCTTTTGGAATCCAGACCCGCCGAGCTCGAAACTCCAGGGCAGACGAAATACAGCTCTAGCCGGGTAGGTCGCACGAATCAATCCCAAGGTCAGTACAGTGCCTGAGCCCTACGCATGCTACAGTGCAATCCGTGCTCGTGCCAGAAACTATGAAGCCCGTCTTCACTTGCGTGTCCCCTGCCGGAAATGCCGAAAACTGTGATGCTCAGCTACAAGTTACTTTTGCAATGAAGATCAGCTTCGCGTGCTCCTAACGAAACAATATTTTCGCATGGGGATTTTTGCAAACCAATCGGCTTGTGGCGAGTTCCTCATTTTTTTCACCGTCGAATCGGTGAGCCACGTCGCCATGCTCGAAATCGTCATCGCTGCGTGTCGAAGACTTCAATTGCCACACGAAATTCAACCGAGGCTGAACAGTGACGAACTCCAGAAACCCATGTGACAACAAAATCTGTCCGTTCCCGGGGGGTCGGAGGATACACTCCATCCTGACCGTCCATCACAAAAAAGTGAGGTCCCAAAAACAACCTCAAAACTATCCAACAGGACTCCTTCGGGACATTTGCGGGACATTGGATTTTGGACACTCTCAGGACCAAAGTTGGGTCAGTCAGGGTATACGTGTCTAGGACAATCAAGGGCTCATGCCCGGGTGCTCTTAGGGCTTCTTTTGGGACACCACGGGGACATCTCGGAGACAGTTGCAAGATAGTTGACGGACGTTGACTTGCTTATCTCTGAACACAATATGCGCGATGCTAAGCTGTCCCATATTCATTACAACAAAAGCCCACAAAAAAATACAGTACACTGGAGCATTACACATTACATCATGGGATTTACAAAAAAAAAAAAAAAAAAAAAAAAAAAAAAAAAACAAACAAACAAGAGGCGACGAGGTCGGCTTAGGGTTGTGGAGCAGTAGAATATAAAAAAATTAAGATAGCATTTTGCTTTAATTGATTTTATTAGTAAGAAGAAATGTTCATATGTTCTGTGTGGTAGTGAGTGCACATGCATTAACATATTACCTGCAAGAGATTTTGGACTTTCAAAACCTTGCCATAAAGTAATGTCGCCGAGAGTAGATCTAATGTTATGAATTAATCAGAGTAATAACAGGTAGTATAATAAAGGAGTTGCGATTCAAGCGTGTCGATACAAATGAGGACCTAGGCCTTTATAGGCACGAACAGAGCTAGCCGAGAACCACACGAACAGGTTGGGGCGGTCCGGTTGGCGAAAACCATGGAAGCGCCGCGCGCCTAGGTTTGGGTTCATGAAATGGTTCGGGACCGTAGAAGTTGGCCGAGCCTGGACTTCCAAGAGTCAAGGACGTACGCGCTGTAGTCGAGCCTAGTAAGGAAAAGGGAATTTCCTTACACCACCCCCCATTCCAGGATGAAACTATCCACATCTGGGGCACGTCGTCGGTGTAAATAGTCACGGACGACTTTGTGTTCGCCGAGCATAGCTGCGGGCACCCAAAGATCGTCGTCAGTCGTGCGATTGACCCATCGTACCAGGAAATCAACGGCTTCTGTATTTCGATGACCTCGTACGCGGTGAGCGAGAATTTTGGATGGCTCGATCGTTGGCTCGGGTACTGGGTTGACTGTAGGATTGATGTGTTGACGGTCGAGATTAATCGTACTCGGGACGAACGGTCGCAGGAGACTGATGTGGAACGAATCATGGATTCGCCTGTCTGTCGGCCGTTGCAGCTGGGCGGTGACTGGTGTCACCATGTAGATGATGTGGAATGGGCCGAAAAATATTGGTTGTAGTTTATTTGGGAGGGGAATTCCCAATTTCTGGTGTCGAGCAGGACCAATTGCCCAGGGGCGAGCGTTAAGTCTCGGCGTTGTCGGTCAGCTTGCTGCTTAGCCCTCAGGTTGGCTTTGAGGATGGCATCGGCGGCTTTCTGCTGAGACTGTTGGAGATTTTCGACGAACTGTTGAGATCTTGGTGCCGGGTTTTCTATCGGGGGCCATAGAGGGGTTGTCGGATCTATCCTGTAATTAAGGAAGAACAAGGATTGAGTAGTCGTGGCCAATGGGGCATTGTTGTATGCAAACTCGATCAAGGGAAGGGCGTCCTCCCATTGGGCCGGGTCTGTGCATGTCGTGCAAATTAGTTGCTCCATCGTCTAATTGGTGCTCTCAGTCTGGCCGTTCGATTGCGGGTGGTACGCCGTGGGCAGATGCAGACGTGTGCCGTACTGCTGCCAGGTTTTTGTCCAGAAGTTGGACGTGAACCGTGGGTCACGATCACTGATGATTGCCGAGGGGATGCTGTGTAGCCGCAAGATGTTCGTGAGGAATAGTTTCGCTGTCTGCTCGGCAGTAATTGTCGTCTTGCAGGCGGCAAAGTGGGCCATCTTGGTCAACCGGTCAACGGCGACGAGAATCGCGCCATTACTGCTTGGACCAGTTGGCAGGCCAGTGACGAAATCCATCGTCACCTGTTGCCAGGGTCGGCTGGGTGGCTCGAGCGGCTGCATTAATTCCGCAGATCGAAGCCGTGAAGACTTCATGCGTTGACACGTGTTGTTAGAGGTGACGTACTACTGCACGTCTGTCGGCAAATCGGCCAGTAATAATTACGGCTCAGTAATTGGGCGCCTTTGTCGATGCCATAGTGACCCAAGAAATTCGAGTCATGTGTCTTCTGGGTCAGTAGTTCTCGTAGGGTACAGTAGGTGGGAATCCAAATCCGATTGGTACCGGATTTTAGGTAATAGGCCCCTTGCTTGACTGTCGGTTGGGGATGACAATTAGTGGTGAAGAATGGGTCAGTATTGTATTCGTGGGTGAATCGGCCAGTTAGCAGTGGATTAGCTTGGGTAATTAGGACTGCGGCGGTGTGGCATGAAGGGCGGGTCAGTGCGTCGGCAATGTTACTAACTCCCCGTTTGTAGGTGACCCTGTAGTGGAAATTGGACTCGAGGTAATCAAGCCAGCGAATCAGTCGGGGATTCACTGTAGCGACTTGTGGTCTGTTCGAACTGTCACGTCAGTGCCCGTCAGGTAGCAGCGCCGGACTTTGAAAGCGTGAACGATGGTCATTAACTCCTTGTCATGGACAGGATAATTTCGCTCTGCCGGGTTCAGCTTTCGTGACTCGTAGGCGATGGGTTGGAGGCCTTCGCCGAATTCTTGTAACAGTACTGTGCCAACGGCCAGATTGCTAGCGTCGGTGATGAGCTCGAGCGGACGGTCAGGATCTGCAATCCGAAGAACCGGAGGTGTAGTCAGGAAAAGTTTGGGCTGTTTGAACGCAGCCTACTGCTCTCCCCCCCACTCATAAAACTTGCCCTTCTTCTGGAGATGCTGCTGCAATAGAGAGAAAACTGACGGTCCGTTTTCTCTCTATTACAATAATGAGTCGGTGCTGCTGCAATAGAGGGAAAAGTGCTTCCAAATCCTTCAAATGCTGCTCCCGGGTAGTGGTGTAGACCAGGATGTCGTCGAGGTACATGATGACGCATTTGTCCAGCAGCGGCTGAAAAACCTCGTTCATGGTTAACTGGAATGTTGTAGGTGCGTTTGTTAAGCCAAAAGGCATAACCATGTACTCATAACTCCCATATTGGGTCCGAAACGCCGACTTGTAGCAATGAGATTTGTTCACGTGGATTTGGTGGTAACTGCGTGGCAGGTCAATTTTCAAAAAGAATTTGGCTCCGCTAAGTTGGTCGATGAGTTCGTCGGCACGCGGGATGGGATAGCGAGATTTGATGGTAACCCGGTTCAAGGCGCGGTAGTCAAAATACATTCCCGCCATATTTCTTCGGGGTGAACAGGATCGGAGCTGCAAACGGTAATGTGCTGGGGCGAACGAAACCTTTCTCGAGCAGGTAGTCCAGCTGGCTTCGAAGCTCATCCAGCTCTAGCTGAGTTAGCTGTCACTGAGTTCCAACAGTAGGCTGTGCGCCGGGCTCGAGCTCGATTGTGTGGACATGTTCTAGCTCAAGTGGCAAACCCTCTGGTAGGTCATCTGGAAATATGTCAGCTTGTTTCCGAATCACCATCGCCAAGTCATCCGGGACAGCTACGCAGAGTTTGTCGATGTCGGTCGGCGTGTCGTCAGCTGTTGATGCGATCCATCGGACGGCATACAGTTGCGCCCCTCGAATCATGGCTCGCTTGATCGTCACTGCGCTGACCATCAATATGGTCGAATCTTGACAGCTCCATTTGGGTAGTCGTCGCCACTAGCCATTCCATTTGATGCGACAATCGCCCATCCGCCAGTCAATGCTCGGGTTGTATTCGCGCAGCCAATCGCGTCCCAACACCATGTCGCAGCCGTCTAAAGTTGTCGCTAGCATCTTCGTCGTGAAACTGAAATTTTCGCCGCATGTTACTCACATGTGAGGTACCCTGTAAGGAATTAGTAATTCCTTTCTAAGGCTTGTTACAGGGCGTACGTCTCGAACACTCCCGAACCAGCGATAGGGTTCGAGACCTTTCAGTTCAAGCCTCCTGGGCCATTTCGGACCTCGCTTCGACAATTCGAGGCCCTTCGACACCTTTCCTGAACCTTCCGATCCTACGTCCAGGATCCTCTTTGGTTTCCTATATTTTGTGTTGTCTTCCATTTTATTGGAATTTACTCGTTCACAGTTTCGCCATTGCCCTCTGCGGTACTCGGCGATTCCATTCATAGCACTGGGTATTCATAGCCACTTTCCCCACCCGCTGGGCTTTCGAGGGCATAATTTTTTTCGGGGGGGGTTGAGAACGCGGATGGTGCTACGGATGCTTCAACAACTCCGGTTTCAAGACCGTCGATCCGACCCCAAGGGACGAGCAGGATTTGCTCGGCCATCCCCTCGAGGGCGGTTGTGTCCATCCTGACATGGCAAAGATTATGAAGAGTGTTTCCGTTATGCTGTTCATTTCACGTATCGTTAAAGTAGTTTCGGTTGCAGTTTCAGAATTTTTGGCAAGCAGCAACGACAATTTGGATTGGTGTTCGAATGGAGCAAGGAGCTCGTCACGCAACGACAAGCTCGCGGATATCCCCAGGCAAAGAGGATTTCGTCAGGAGCGCATGTAGCAGACGTGGCTGCATGGTGAAGTGTAGCTGACGTCACCAGGCTCGGCGTTTCCGGCAGGCAACAAGCAGGTGAAGACGGGACTTCGGAGATTGTTCAGCAACGAGGCGTTGGAGTTTTCCGCACGAAAGCAAAACGTGGGGCTCAGGCACGGAAGAGTTCAGAGGAGTACTGACCTTGGAATTGATTCGCGTGACTTGCCCGCCTGGAGGTGTAATTCGTCTGCTCCGGAGTTTCGAGCCCGGCGAGTCTGGATTCCTGCAGAGGAAGCCATTTTCATGGTCAGAAATTACACTCCACGATCTACGGAGGACGACCAGCAACTACCCTCGGGTCGAGTTTACTTTAAGTGTCATCAGTGGGTCACCGCTAAAAGTCAACGTTGAAGAGCTGAAGCAGAGAAGGAGAATGACTGGGAATAGCCGGGGAATTTTGTGGTGTCAGCGGCAGACGGATCCCCCGACTGACTTGGCTGGATCGCCCGATTTTCAGCACCACCACCAGGTACCAAGTTCGGGTTTAAGACTACTCTGACGGTTCTGGCCTAATATGGGTGGTGAGCCAGCGGATCACCCTATGCTAGTGGATCAAGGAAGAAATGTTTTCGGTGCTACACGACAGGAGAACGATTTGTGAAAATCGGATACTGTACAGTGGGAGGCGCGTGAAGCAGGTTAACGAAAACAGCGAAGGAGTTTACCGACGATGATTTGACAGTACGCGGAGCTCGATTCCGATACGAACGGCGAGGATTTTTTGCTGAGATTGGCGGAGTTGCGAGCTTTTCAAAAGAACGTGCGCGGTACTGTTGGGAGAACAATGAACGTGGGTGTTGGGTGAACAGCGGCCTACGGGGGTTTTATCGTGGAAGCGGCAGTTGAAGAAATTTGCAGCAATTTGGAGCAGATTTTTGCACAGACGATTTTTTCAGGGAGGGGAAGGAGAATCCCTCACGTAAGCTGCAAAGCGGTTGCCCGCGAATTAGACTGATTAATTTGCCCAACTACGATAGCGTTTGCGCTTACCTGAGTATGGGAACACGGCGGATTCACCCCTACTCTAGAGTGTATTCGTCAAATGGAGCTTCGGGAAGACAAGGGTTACTGTTGCAGTGGGAGAAGCATGTTGCCGTCACGGAAAATTTGGAGTCACTTGGGAGTCTTCAAGGATTATTCCTGAGTTCGGGGCAATAATCGAAGATTCGGCTACGAGGACTCGGGGATTTACAGTGACGGAACAATCTGTCCACAAAATGGCACTGTTTAGCAAGTTCGTGATGTTTTGACAAGTATAAATGAATTATTTACAATTTGGAGCCTGTGAACATTACGCATAAACATTTGATGCACCTCCAGATATGACAAACTCTAGCCAATATCGAATTGCTAATAGCGAGTACAAGCTTTAACGCTTGATGGTCGATGTGGACAAATACTACCCGAGTAGAGACTAGATCTGTTTCCGTCGAGCATTCTTTGCACAAGTTAGCATAATCGCTCAGACTTTTGCTAGCGCATGTCCCTTACCCCGTGATCCTCCAGTAACCACGCGACCGCTTGCTTTGCGTCAGAGATACCAGATCATGAGCCTCTGTCGCCACGGTCTGAGTTTTTGTCAGATCGCACGAACGCTAGGAATAGGGCAGAGAATCGACCAAAAAACACTCTGAAGGCTAGTCACAGCAGTAGTCATCTTGCAGCTAGGCCAAATGTCCATGCTTCAGGTCGACCACGACTGCTCTCAGTGTGACACACGTGCACTTTTGTGCACACCATCATGTTAGGTGCCGCATTGACGAGCATTGAGGCTGCATAACCACTGGAATCGAATCACGTTGTTAAGGTCCACCCTCACACTGTATGAAAAACCATCATGGTGATTGGGTTAGTCGCTGTACAGCTATTGCGCAAGCCTGAACTATTAGCGCGCAACATCCGCGACTAAACGGAATTTCTCCAGAGCCCACCAAGACTGGACTCTGGACGACTGGAAGCGGGTGATAAGGTCGAACGAGACTCAGATCACTCGATATTGCTCGGATAACCACACCCACGCATGGATTCACGCAGGCGCTGCTCTCCAGGGGCATCAGATGAAGTAGACTGTGAAGTATGGGGGCGGGCCAGTCATGGTTTGAGTCTCTATCATGTTTGATGTGCCTGGTTACATGTGCAAATTTGATGGCCGCACAGATGGCCAACTCTATCACAACATATTGTTGGACGAGGTAGCTCAAACTCTTGATTTCTATGATTTGACTGTCTCTGGCATGACGTTCCAGTAAACTGTACGAACCCAAACCCAAATGCAGGATCGTTCAGGAGTGGCTAGCAGAGCAAGATTTTGCGGTCCTACAATGACCCTATTCCTTCCCCGACCCCAATCCCATCGAGCAGCTCGCCAAGCATGAGCAACCCCCCACAGGCATGGTGCAAACTTGGGAGCAGGTGCATGAGGCATGGGACAGCATTGGGGCTGGAGTGTGCAAGGATCTGATAGACAGTATGCCGAGGAGGATCAGAGCAGCAAGTAGGGCTAAGGGGAGATGGACCCGATATCGATATCGATAATTTCAAATGTCGCTCATCCTGGGAACATTCTGTCCGATTGTACCATTTGTGATCTTTGTTGTGCTATGTTCTGTTCTGGTGTGTTGTTTGGACAAGATGTCATTTGTCACACAAGCCTACAACAGTGGCAACTAGAACCTTAAAACCAGAAAATACAAAACCTGATCATTTTCTCATGGGCTCTGATTTTATCCAGTTAATGGCCAACATGTGGACAGATTATTCCGTCACCGTACCTGGACGGACGTAATGATGGTTGAACGTTGGCGCGTCGCTAAAACGTCGGGTATTTTCCGGGTGGGAATTCTTCAAGTTTTTGGATTGAGCGGTAGCTGGGGTCACGGGTACCTACCAAGCTGTGCGATGGTTTAAATACCAGCATGGTTAGTCGGTGAAACTGCAGAAAATGCGTTTTTCGTAGCTGAGAACTGTACCCGAGTTTTTCTAGGGTACCTGCCATAGCAGCGCAATGGGTGAACGTCTGCACGGCGTACCGGTCAGGTGGAGTTGCGAAATTTTCTACAGAGGGTAACAACACGAAGCAGATCGATGGCAGTTGAGAAGATGAATATCTATCTACGGCGCCAGACAGAGCCAGAGTCTATGTGGTGCAGCTGCCCTGCATTTTAGGGCCGCGCTGAGACTGGTCCCGACGAGCACAGGTTGAAGATACTTCAGTTTTCTGGGTCTGAAGAAAAAATTGGAGCACTAGACTTATTTCGACAGCAGATCTTCTTTGCATGGAGGGGGGAGAGAGCAGCTGCGCAGAAGTTGTTTTTGGATTTTCCCTCAACAATTGGCATCCGCTGCATGAGCATCAACGAACAGATGCTGTTTGACCGATTGAATCAACGGACAGATTCGAGTTGGCTTTTTGGGGAATTTGGCTGGTGTTTGCGAAAGTTGAAGGCGTGTTTACATTAACTGCGAAAGATGACATCGGCTACGGTTACTGGACTAATTGAGCTTTCGTCTCATGTGCTGATGGACTTCGCTGACTTTCGTGAGACACGGACGCGTGTTCTCGCATGTGTTACGAACGACCTCGCATTTGACGAATCGCTGGAGTTCGTTGACTTTGCGAAGTGCGGACGCGTGTTTCTGCGAGTGTCATGACTCTCGAGGAATGAAACGAGAAGCTATCTACAAAGACGTGGAGCTACGGACAAGTTTGGTGCATGCAGCAGATTCGGCTCGCCAACTTGCAGCAGCGTGAATAACGTAGTGTTACTATGTGGATACAGTACACGATGACACGGTTTGTAATTCTCGGCAAAGGACTCGCTGGAGACAAGGAAGCTGTGGACTTCTTCAACTGCTTTAGGTGTCACCGACGCCCTTGCTTTGCTCGCTGCATCTTCGTCTCAGGTAGCAGGCCGCCCCTGACGTGTTTCACCAAGCGTCTGGCAA